GGTTTGGATTACGATTGATCCAAGGATACCATTAGATAGAGCTCGTCGAGTTGTACCTGGAACGCTGCTGTAACGGTTGGAACGCTCTCCTGGACGAATATGGGCGGGTTTTAGTAAGTAGGTTTGGTTTTTCCTATTGAAAAAGTGCAGTATGTTTGATTTTTCTCACGATTGGTTTGGGCTATGGAAAATCCAAAGTTACCATTAGATAGAGCTCGTTGAGTTCTACTTGGAACGCTGATTGGTACACTTGGAACGCTCTCCTGAGCGAATATGTGAAGGATTTACTCGAATATGATGCTGACTTCACCTACGTGAACAGCTACTAGCTTATCGCGTGAGTTGGCAGCTTTTCTCTACTATTGTACGGATAAAACATGATGTTGTTCGGACCAATTCAGGGTTATCTAGGATCCTCTCTTATATGACCCGAACAATAGTATGTTTTATCCTTAGAATAGGAGTGTATCAAAATGGGGTACCACTCAAACTGCTCACCCCCATATATCTATATGGATTTGAAATTTAATTACAGCAACATTGTCCAGATGATAGGCTTCGAATTATTTCGAGTTCTACATGATTCTATCAAGATTTTATTTTGATAAAAGAAGGATATGATTTAATAAATAATAATTTGATCAAAATCATACGTATAAACTATTTGCATTATCAATAAAAATTAAATTTAATCTTTAACATAATTCAATTGTAGACATAGTGATCTGATGTCTGATAATTTAATTTGAAGATATCTGCGGAAATATTTAATTTATTACAAACAATTGATTATTTATTGTAATCAGAGCGGACCGAATACGATAATAAATAAGTTCTTTTATAAAATCGATATTTCGAAGTTTTGTTATCTAGCTGAAAATTGTGAGCATGATTCAAGTGTTGCAGCAATGAATGCATTGAAAAGTGCTTTAGCATCGTAAAATCTAGCCATAATGATTGACTATTTAAGAATTGTTAAAGTAACATTCATAATACAAGTCATCAATGCTGTTAATAATGATGAGAATCTAAGTTCACTTAACATATAATCTATCGTATTTCTTTGATTTGTGACCTGAAGAAAATATATTTTTTGACAACTTACAAATCTCAAATGATGAGGAGAAACTATATAAAGTTTTGTCAAATAATAGACCTTTTTACATTAAATAGACACTTCATATTGTACTCTAATGTATATCAAACCATTCCTCGAATAATTAATCTATTTCGAAGTAAGGCAATATTTTACACAATCATCACCAAAAATGTTCTCAGCCGATGAAACATTATTTGAACATGAACATTTTCTTTGTGTTTCTGTTCGAACAGAAATAGGATTCAACGAACTTGGATTGAAAGTATTAACTAATCTTTCAATCAATCACAAAAACGAAGCTATAAATGAAATATTTACTATACATTGAGTTCTTATGATCTCACCAATTTATGCATATCTATTTTTGCTCAATGCTTCATTCAAAAGTTGAGCATCGTAGGTGTTTTGAATCATCACTTCGTAGAAAATCATTTCAATATGAGTTAGATATGTGTTCTCTGATGAAAAACCTGCCAAGCAGTAAAATGTAGTTCTCAGGTACGTGCACTAACTTCACGATGAATTAAATCAATTTACTTGAAAATTTTACAACACTTTCTATGAGTCAATGAGACTTGAAATCAAATCTTCCAATGAAGACATTCAAATAAATGTTTCTTTTTCTTTCGATATCTACTAACGTTCACTATCCGATGCTCCAGTTTTTATCTTTGTACTCAAAAATATGTGCAAAAGAATTCAGTACTTTCTAATCTGTAACAGTACATATTCTTTCATACGCATTTAGAAGTATGATTTTCTTACATTCTCTTTTCTATTTTATAATACTCTAGTTTAGTATAAAGCAATTTGTGATTATTCATATATATCTTTTTATTTAAACAATAGTTGAAAATCAACGTAATCTAGGCGTATGTACATGAAGAAAATAGTCTTTGAAATACTTTGGAAATGTAAAAATGTTATCATAGCAAGCATATTCCATTTTGGTACAATTGATCCTTGTTACATCTCTTTGAAAATTATCTGTTAATAATCGCAAAGATCCGTAATGAGCAATGAGACGAACATTATTTGGAAGATATAATTTAGTATCAAGTAAAAATAGTTCGATATAATCATTATGAGCTTCAATAAGATTGAGTTGAGTTAGATAATGATATTTAATAATTGATAAAACTTCATTGTCTTTTTATGATTTATTTCTCTGCAATTTTTTATTAATTACAGTTAATTTTTTCAATAAATGAAAACGATTCAGCAATTCGAAGACAAAATGCATGTTCAAATGGACGTTCATCATGTAACAATACTTCATAAACATATTTAAATAATCCTCCTTGAAAATTATTTGAAATATTATCATAATGTTTCAATCTATATGGATGTGAATAAATAAGGCAGTAATTATAATGACTCTCTTGAAAATAATCAGCACAAGAAATAATTTGATTATTCATAAAATCTTTGAATGTGTTTTGAATATCTTTATCTAAACGTATATTATTTTGATTAGAAGAACGATTGAATAAATGAATATTAAATGTAAATTGATTTAGTCTTGGCAGATAATTGATAATATCCTTCTTTAAATCATTTCCATCAATAAATTCTTTATAACCATCGACCTTAAGACATAGGCGGCGGAGCGATTTCAGTCTATGGTAGGCTCAACTTTCTAACAAAACCACATCTGCTCATCCAAATGAATAGTTGAAACCAGATTAAAGTTGATTATAATCATAAGATTTTAATTGATTTTCCCTTGTAATAAATTAAGAAGACTTCGCTCAATTTTCATCGGTTTGCATCATTTAGACTCTGGTTTTTTATGAAGTTTAAATCGGAATCAATCGTATAATGTATGAAAATTTGATTTTTCCGATTATTTTTTATTAAAATCGTTTAAAGGATGATGTAAAAATCGGATGATTATAATCAATTTTTAATCCGTTTCAATAGGATGTGAGACCTAATTTTTATGTATATCAATGTAAACCGGTTGAAAAATGTTTTTGTTCATTTTTTATAATCGTGAATGTAATAAACTTTCTTCCTAGATTTTTATTTTCATAAAACGCTTTCTTGTCTTGATATTTTGCAAGAAAATCAAAATAGATACTCGAGCAAGTTGATGGTGAGATTTTAGTTGGTTCTAACTATAATATTTCTCTGCAAAATTCTGGTTCATCTTTAGTATCAGTTGAACTCTTCGAGAAAACTCTAAGAGAAAATGAACTTTCATCAAAATTATACTTGGACTGTGATTAATGTTGAAAGAAAAATCTATTCGGATTTTGTTTAGCTGATATCACTATACGAAAGAAGTAACATTATTCAAATGTTTAAAATTCAAAAATCATTTTAAGTAGAAGTTCACAAAGAAACTATTCAATTGTTTTATCTTAAGAACAAAGATTTTCATATCAGTACAGATGCTAACTAAATTCAATAACTATCTCATTGGGCACAGTTTAGCAGTAACAAAAGCATGGACTGATTTTCTACAAGTGCTAAGTAACTGCTGTATTATTTATTATTTTTGGTTTAACACAAAAAGAACACATAATATCACTGGATATTAAACTTGACTTGGGTTTTCAGTTTCAACTTCAAAAAATTTTCACTGACAGTATGGTCATGATACGATCATGCGAACGGACTACACGATGAAACGGCCGTCACCATATCTATGCGAGCGATGCACGTCTCTGTCACGTGCTGACTTATCAAAATTTTTTTTTCAAAATCTGTTGAGAATGCAGACAGTGAGTACTTCATAACTTTTCTAAACATAAGTTAGAATAAAGTAAAATTTTGAATTTGTAGGTTTCTCATCTTGATCTTTCACTTCCCATCATAAAATATAGGAATGAACATTTTCAAGAGTATATCATATTCGATTTTCTCGTAGATCGTCTCTTAACTGACGAGGGAACATATGCAAGTGTAAAATCGCTTTTGAGTTCGGACTCTGTGCATAATGTAGACTCCAATGAGGTATGAAAAACCCTAAAAGGATAAGGGCTGTTAGGTCGTCTGTCCAGAGTTATAGGCATTTTACTAGAATTTTAGTCTATGGCATGATATATACCAGCAAATCGAATGATTGTATTTCGACCTGATATTTTGCCCACAGATAGGTCTATATGTGAGTAGAATGCCCTGAAAATTTCAGTTCAAAAGAATATTTTCTTCCCGAGATATCAAAGTCCCAAAAACCACTCATATCCCACGAAAGATGCTAGAGTTTACTGGTTTTTGAGACTTTAATATCTCCGGAAGGAAATATTCTTTTGAGCTGAAATTTTCAGGGCATTCTACTCACATATAGACCTATCTGTGGGCAAAATATCAGGTCGAAATACAATCATTCGATTTGTTGGTATATATCATGCCATAGACTAAAATTCCAGTAAAATGCCTATAACTCTGGACAAAAGACCTAACAGCCCTTATCCTTTTAGGGTTTTTCATACCTCATTGGGGTCTACATTATGCACAGAGTCCGAACTCAAAAGCGATTTTACACTTGCATATGTTCCCTAGTGAGATGAATATATAATAGAACCAAATTCTAATATTTATTCGATTGTTTGTATAATTAATTATTTCGACAAGAGCGTATTTTCATTGAAGTGTTGTTTTTTTTCTGAGAGCACAACAAAGGTCTCTGCTATTTATATATGTATAAAATAAAGCGTAATTGAGTGACATCTATAATAAAATACAATCACATTTATAAAAGTTGCCATATTATAAATTTAGTCGTTTTGAAAAAAAACAAATTAAAAAAAAATTTCTTTAATGGTGAATAATAATGATTGATGACTGGTGGTTGAATAAACCTCTTGGATAAGTAGTAGCGTCAGGAAAAAAAAAAAAAAGAAAAAAGCAAACAAATTTATTGAAAACTAAAGATTTTTTTTTTATTTTCAGAATGGTAACAAATTCAAATGTATCATCAAATGAAATGATAAAATTTCCAAATGAATTAATAAAAATTGTTTGGGGAAATGATATTGAACAATCAATATTTGAACGTTGGTCTCAACCATTTGAATTTTCAATAGATGAACGATCAGCATTAATACAATATGAAGGTGGTCCATGTTCTGTATTAACAACAGTTCAAGCACATTTATTAAATGAATTAATTTTTTGTCAACGTTGTAAAAATGATTGGCGTCAATCATCATCCGATGAAATTGATTTACATTTTTTAAATGCACTTGTTTCAATTCTTCATTTATTATCATCAACAAATAAAAAAATATATTTAGCTTATTTTAATAATGATAAACAAAATAAAATTTTAACAATAAATCAATTTCATGAACAAATTTATTTTCGTTTATGTCAAACAAATATTGATTTAAAACAAGAAATTTTTTCACGTCTTCAAATGTGGAAAAATTCTTATGGTGTTTTACTTTTTCTTTATTCTTGTTTAATGACAAAAACAATTGATTTATTAAAAAAAGAAATTGATGATGAAACAACATTACCATTAATTGATATTGCACATGGACATGGTAGTCAATGTTTAACTAATTTATTAATAACTGGTTTTGCTACACCACATTGTTTTGATGGTGAAAAAGATATATCTGGATTAAAATTATATGGTATACGTCATCAAGCTTCTATTGGATTTTTATCATCACTTGAAATTTATCGTCTATTAGAAGTTGGATGGCATTTAAAAAATCCTAAAAGTCCCATTTGGATTCTTGGATCTGAAACACATTTAACTGTTATTTTTTCAAGAGAACGAGCTTTAGTTGAATTAGATAATGAAACACCTTTAAAACAAGCTTTAAAAAGTAAGTTTTATTATATCATATATATATATATATCAATTTAAAACATAAACTAATGATGAAACCAGTTGAACTAATAGCTATTGTTGGAATTCATATTGAAACCATATGAAAATCTCAATAAGAATTCGAGTTGAAAAGAATCATTTTTTATCGAAATATATTTAATAACATATATATAATACAAATCTTTAGTTCACTTTTAAATAGTCAATATCGACAAATTAAAAAAAAATTATCTTTTTCACCTAAAACTTTCAAAACATTCAACGGATGATTTGACCTATTTACAAATCAAATTTTAATATCGATAAACTCTGTTTAGATTTTCATTCGTTTCATCAAATTGTTCATATAGAATTAAGATAAGTTTGACTATATTTAGAAAATAATTGTTATCTAATATGAAATTATATTGATCATTTTACATTAATCATCGTTACTACTTTTATTATTAATTTAAATACATAAAATCACTTTACCGATTTAGAGAATATTTTTAAAAAAATTTTCCATTGTTTTCAAAGGATAGAATGAATTTGCTCTGATCATTAATGAGATGTAACTTGATCCCAAAGAGTAGCAGAGAGATTCAAAATTAGTGTTAAATATGATCAATTTAATTGTGAAAAGTCGTTTAGAGTAATTTAATAAACAATAAATAATTATTATTAGAATGTTGACTATATATAAGAATTGATGATAAAAACTTTTCTTTGCTTAAAGTTAAATAAAAATAATATTTCAATGTAAAATAATCGATTTATCAGAAATTCTTTATAAACAATTTTTTTTTTATTTAATATCGAAATAAATAAATTCAATTAATATTGTCTTCAACAAAAAATTTGTTTTTATATTTTCTATATTAATTTTGTTTTTGTCAATAATTTTCCGAAAATAATATTTAGTTTTAATGAGGAAATTAAATTTAAAATAATAAATATGTTTTCAAATAAAGAGATGATAGTCAATTATTGAATTAATAATAATAAATGAAAAAAAAAACACACACACAAGATAATTTTCTTTTAGTATTTCATAAATATGATACAGAAAGAAATGGTTTTATATCAAATAATCTTCTTGAACAAGTTCTTAATGAAATAAATGAATTTTCAATAATAAAAATAAATCCAACATTAAGTCAATTAAAACAAAGAATGGATCCAGATAATTTACAAATAATAACTGAATCATCATTTATAAAAGAATTATTTCCACAAGATAAATATATTAATTCAAATAATCAAACATTAACACCATTAAATGGAAAACCATTTGTTATTTATCATTATAATGGTCTTTCAAGATCAAATAAAGATAAAAAAGTTCGTTATGCATCAGCTGAAGCTATTATTTCTGATTATGGTTATGGAAATGATACACCTATATCAGCTGTTGCACCAGTTCAACCAGGTTAGTCTCTTTTATATTTATTCTAAAATTGGTTTTTTTTTTGTTGTGTTTTGTCTAGGAAGTTATTTACCAATAACAGGTGTATTAAGAACAAAATGGCCAACAATTGAATTAAAATGGGATGATGATCTTAAACCATCATTAAATTAAATTTAACTGTTGTTTCTTTTTAAATTTCTTTTATTATTCAAGAGACAATTTTTAAAAAAAGACATGAAAAAAAAAACAAAAAGATTTTTATGTTAATAGTATCTTGTTTATTGGCAACGTTTCTTTTTTTTTTTTAATTCATAACGATTAAATCATTAGGTTCTTTTTTTCTTTTTTTTTTTATTTCGTATATGACTAAACATTTTCCATAGATCTGTGTTCATATATCGTCAAAGTTCTATTATATTAACTTGAAATACTTTTGAAGAATTTAAAAAAAACAAAAGTGAGTTTTATAAAGTAGTTTTTGATTGAAAATCATTTTTGTTTTTTAAACTAAAATCTAACGATATATGATTTAATGAAATGAATCTTTTTTTTTTTAAAATTGATCTATTTCTTATAAATAAATCATTATTTATAATATAGTTTTAAAATATTCTTATTTAATATTATCATCGATAATTAAAAATTCAACTTTTATTTTTAAATAGTTTTCATGATTTTATTTAAATTTATCATTGATATTTGTAATAGAATGAAACTAGATAATATATAAAATTGAAATAAAATAATATTTTTAAAATGTAATTGATTCTATTTATCAAAAAAATCTTGTTAGAAATTTTTTTTTTTGAATAATAATAATACTAATAAATGGTTGTATTGTATTAATATATTTATTGTTTAATGGTGAAGTCGATGATATAGTAAAATAACTAAAATGAATAGAGTATTGATTATTGTTTTGAGCAGTATTGTTATAATAAAGAGTGTTATAAAATAATTGATTTATATTCGATTCTATTCAATAATATTTCATATGCGACCTTTTGTTTTTTTTCTTAATTCAAATGAAATTATTAATAATAAATATTTGATTTATTTTGTTCAGTTATATTTAATAAACAAGATAAATAATGAATTTAACTTACAAAAAAAAACCTAAAACTAAAAGAATAAATTGTTTAAATAAATCTAAACATAGATTTCGAATAATTTAAAATAAGATCAATTTTTATTTTTAATTTAGTTTAATTAAATAAATATTGATTTAGATTATTTATTAATTTGTTCTTTTTTTTATTTTAGATTTAATTTGAAATCTAAAAACAAAAAAATCGAATTTTCAACGTAAATAGTGATGAAATAAAATCGAATATTCTCGAATAAATGAATAAAATTGACCTAGTTAATAGTCAATCGATAAAAAGAAATCGCTATGGACGCAATTTACTATTGATCTTATATAATTTGTTTGATCATCATCATATCCGATCATATTCGATATAGAATAAATAAAGTTTTCTTTTCATTTAGATTATTCGTCATACGAGATTTATTATTCGACTTCTTTTTTTTGTTTTTTATAACGAAATTTAAGTTTTTATGAGGGGAAAAAAAAAGTCAATAAAGATCAATAGAAAGTCAAATTAAAAAACTGATTTATTTTATTCTGTACTCGTATTATTTTTTTTTTGTTTATTGTTTACATCACTTAACGTGTGTTTTTGTTTTTTTATTGATTATTCTCTTGGATATATAATTCGTCTTTGAAAGGTCTAATGGATTTATCTTTGATTAATATAAATCATTATTATTGGTTTTCTATATAATTTATATATATATCAATAATTATTATTTATTCTAGAATATGTTTCAATAATTAAATATGAATACAAATAATTCGAATTTAAAACGAACACATTCAATGTTTGTTTTTATTTATAAGAAAAAAAAAAAAATTATTTATTATTTTTATTTTAGTGAAGATACAAAACAATCACCAACAAAAAGGTTAAATAATTTAAATAATTATTTAGATATTTTTTTTTGTTTTTTTGTTAATATAATAGACAATTTCGTAATGAAAATGAAAAACGTCGTCGAGATTTATTTAGTCAATTAGTTTCGAATTTAGAAGATATTCTTAATATTGATAAAAAATCTTCATCAGATGATCAAACAGATAAAACATCAACATTAACAAATAAATTAGATAAAGCATCAATTTTATGTGAAACTGCTATTTATTTAAGAAAAAATCATCATAGTAAGATTTTATTTTTTTCAAATAATTTTACTCTTTTGTTTAATTTCATTTAACTTTTTATTGAAACGAATATTTCCTTTATTTTTTAATTAATGTTTTAGAAGAAAACTTGATAAAGAATTTTTCATTAATCTTTCAAATTGTATATTATTTCATAATAGATTTGAGATAATAACGATATTAATATTTTTTTGAAAAAACAAAAGAAACAATTCTAATATAATATTTAATATAAATAGAATTAACAAGTGGTGAAACATTAATTCCAATATCAAATTGTAAAACAACAATTGATCAAATAAATGATATTGTGGATTTTTCTTGGAAACCACCATCAAATATTCTTATTAATGAAGAATGGATTCAAACAATAATTGAAGTAAATTTTGTTTTTTATATTTTACAAAAAACAATATGAAATTAAATTAAATTATTTTATTTCTATAGTCAATTAATTGTTTTTTTCTTGTTGCTAAATCTGATCCATATAATTGTCAAATTGTTTATGTATCAAAAAATATAAGTTCATTACTTGATTATTCTCAAGTAAATAAAACAAACAAACAAATAAATAAATCATATTCAAATATGAATTTTATTTAGGATGAACTTCTTAATCGTTCATTATTTGAATTTATTTTACCACGTGATCATGATCAATTACGGGATTATTTTTTACAAGATCATAGAGGTTTTATTCAAAAAAAAAACACCAAATAAAAAAAATCTTTTATATCTTAATTTAGTATTATCAACATGTGATTTATCATGGAAACGAGCAGCAACTGATGAATATGAACAATGTACAATAATTGGAGCATTTCGACAAAGTCTTTTATTATAATTAGAAAAAAAAAAAAAAAAATCTTATAAATTTTTATTTTAGTTAATAAATAAAGAAAATAAAATAATTAAAGCATTTAAACAAAGTTTTTTAATATAAAAAAAAAAAAAAAAAAAAAAAACTTATAAATTTTTATTTTAGTTAATAAAGAAAGAGAAGAAAATGATGAAAAATATTTAATGTCAATTGTTAAAATAAATACATTAGATAGAACAACTATAATTGATAATATTAATTCAATTAATCAATTTACAACTCGTTTAAATCTTCATGGAAGATTTATTCATATTGATCCAAAGTTTGTTCTTTTCATTTTTTATTTTATTTTATTTTATATTTTATTTTAATAAAATAGAGCTCGAGAATTTCTTGGTTATAATTCATATGAATTAATTGGTCATACACATTTTGATTTTGTTCATCCAGATGATTTACCAATTATTGTTCGAGCACATCAATTATGTTTGTTTTAACATATTTATTTATCTTATTTATTTATTTATTTATTTATTAATTAAGGGAAAACAAATGGAAATGGTCAAAGTGAACCATATAGATTTTTAAGTAAAGGTCAACAATGGATTTATCTTCAAACAAATTGTCAAGTTCAATTAAATAGTTGGACTGGAAAACCTGAATCTTATATTTGTACAACTAATCCTTTACAAAAGTATTTTTTATGTTTATATTAAATATAAATAATTTATTTTATCTAAAATATAGTTCAAGTGATTGTTTACAAAAACCATTATCATATATATTACCATCTCCTCAAACGACTATTTATTCAAGTAAATATTAACTTAGTTTTTTATTTTGAAATTATTCAATAGAATAGAAATGAATTATAAATCTTATTCTATTTCTGATAAGATAAGTTAAATACACAGGAGTACGACTTGAAATCTTTTATATGACATGATTTATTCAATACTAAATATCAAATTCTTTATTTTGTCTCTAAACTTTTACATATTTTTATCGTTAAACAAAAAAATTGATAGAGAGATTTTCGAAAAAAGTCAAAATCAATTCTAAGATAAAGTGTTAGGTATCTCAAAAGAAAAAAACACAATATTCAGTCTAATAGGAGTCAACTTTGATGTCTCCTCATTTGAAAGAGTCAATCCTAATCGATTATATCCTCATAGAAGAGAAGATATAATCAATAAATAGGATGTTACACACTTATATTTATAGCCAATATTATAACTTCATCTGTTTAATTCGAAAAATCCACTGGTAACTTAATTCCGATATATAATGTATTAGTTGTCAAGATTAAGAAGACATTTTTGAAAATAATCAATCGTCAAAAAATTTCTTCATAAACCGGTAATTATACGGAGAAGATTTTTGTTATTAATTTATTAAAATATTTTAAAATGAAAAACTATCTGGAACGAATGATTAGCCTATAAGCTTCATTGTGTGAAAAAATTATTTCGATTGAACCAGAAATGGAGTAGAAAAAAAGCGCTTACTGAGCCGATAGTAGGTCGAAAACTCGGTCATACCGTATTTTGTAAACGCTCAACACAATTTACGTCTGATTGAGCTCAAACTTTCACCAATTATTCTCCTATACGTGATTTATCGTTGGCCATAGCGCGATGTCATACCAATGAACAGAAACAGAATTAGTGGTTTCCTAAAGAACCAGCTTTCTGTCCCTGAATCGTTAGCTTTTCGAATACAGAGACATTTTTGCGCAAATCCAAGGCGATATTCGGAATCAGCTCGCCGAGCTGCATCGAATCATATATAACAGTAATTGTTTGTCGAAAAAAAGTTTGTTCCTGTGCTCTACAAGGTTCTGAAAATCAGCCTTTCCGTATTTTGTAAACGCTCAACGCAATTTAGGTCCGATTTATCTCAGACTTTCACTGATTATTCTTCCACGTCTAGTTCATCGATGATCATAGCGCGACTTCGCATCGATCAGCACAGCCGGTCCTATGAGTCTTCCAAAAACCGAGGTTTTTGCCCTCAAATCCCTATTTTTACAAACACTGTGTCATTTTGAAGCAAAACCAAGGCGATATTTGAGATCAGCTCGTCGAGCTGCATCTAACAATATGTAATAAAAAGCATTTTTTTGAAATTTGTTTTTGACCTTTATACAAGAAAAGCTTAAAAAATGAGTCGTACCGTATTTTTCGAACGGTACAAAAAGTTTTAATTCAATTGATCTTAAACTTTTACTGATTACTTGTCTATGTGTGGTCTAGTGCTAGCCAAAGCACCATCTCGCGCAGATGAGCACAGCCGATACTAAATATTTTCCCAAAACCCAGGTTTTTGCCCTCAAATCCCTATTTTTCCGATTACGATAGCATTGTGGCACAAAATGAATGTGATATTCGGAATCACGCGCAAAGCTGCATCGGATGATGTATGACACAAGACATTTTCTACCAAAAAACTTTTTTCGAAAATCTGGGCAAAGGTCCCCCTCAAGTGTTTCACCCCGAAAAATTGTTTTTTCAAAAAATGCTTTATTTTCGTAAATTTGATTTTCTGAGTGATATACAAACACTTCTGAGTAACGGAAACCCGTTTCAGAGCATAAAAGTTACATGTCCGCCTGCCTCATGAAAGTTGCCCACTGTGCTACAGGATGAAATCGGTCTTGAGTTGAAAATGATTAAACATTTTTAGGATTTATAAACGAAGTTTATAATAATATCTATAAGATTTATTTTCTACTCTAACTTTCAATAGATATAAGATGATAGAAAAAAAAAATTTTTTTTTTCTAAAACCTATTTAATCTAATGTAAAATTGAATATAGATCCATCTCCTTTAACAACAACAACAACAACAACAACAGCAAATACAACGGCAAGATCAATACCACAAAGAAGTGATTCATCATCGGACACTCAAATAACAGTATGTTATTATATTTATTAAAACGATAAAAAAAAAAAACTAAATAAATAAAAAAAAACTTAGTCATTTTTATCTCATCTTGGAAATGAAACATATCGAAGAAATATTCGAGAAAAATTAAATGAACGTCGAATACATAAACAAGCTGAAATACGTGTTAGAGAAGAAGAAATTAAAGTTATTGAAGATATTATTCAATTTATTAATGAATTTGAATTAAAACGTTTTAAAAATCTTTCACCAAAACCAATCAATTCTTCTTTACCTGTTTCTTTAACAACAACAACAACAAATAATGATTCAATATCTCAATTAAATCAACAAGGTTAACTTTTTTTTTCATTTATTTTAACAACAAAAAATTTTTTTTTTTTTTATTTTTGTGTTAAATAAAATTTAGATTCTATAAATGAAGATGATAGATTAGAAACAATAAATAATTCAACATTATTAAATTGTTCATCATTACCAAATACAATTAATGATTTATCTCATCGATATTCATCAATTAAATCTCGACATAATTCATCAATAGATAATCAAAATATTCGTTTATCAAAAGATGAAATTACATTCGATACATTGACTAATTCACTATTTTCTCCTCAACAAGGAACATATTGTTTATCATCACCAATGACACCATTTTCAATATTATCATTATCATCACCAATAACTCCAATTCCATTATCGACTTCTCCAACATCAACACAAATAACAACAATCGAATCATCACAATCAATACCACCATCGACTAATAATATAACAACAATAAATAATTGTAATAATATCATATTATCATCATCTTCAATTGATCCAATAACAACAACAACAACAACAGATCAAAATCCAAATATAATTTCAACAGAAAAACCGTCAATAAAATCGTCTTTTAACCGTTCATTACCACATAGTCTTGTTTCGTGATTTTTCATTGTCTATAATATATATATATACAGGAAGATATATTCGTTTTCTTCCTTATTAAATAAACACTTTATACAAATATTATTTCTCAACATTTATTTTACTATACATATATATATGTATATAGTATCATTTATTTTTCTATTTAATCATATTTTTATTTTATATTCTTTCATCAACTAAATTCGAATATCATTTTTATATTTTCTATTTGTTTATATTATCATTATTACAATTCATTGAAAAACGATATTCGTTATAATCAAATGAATTTTTTCTATTGAAACCCGTTGAATACAATTGATCATTTTCTTATTATTAATTATTAAACAAAAAAAAAGAGAAAAACTCTATATGGAAATATAAGGAAAAAGAAAACCTCAATGCCCAGTGATGCATATTTATTAATTAGTCAATACAACTAACAACTATAGTAATTACATTTTGTTTAAAACATATTATCTACATTATCGAATCAATTTATTTTTATCCGTTGTTTTTTAAAAAAATAAATAACATGTTTAACGGTAATAAACATAAAAAAAAGAAAAGAATTTTTATTGTTTATTTTTTTTTTTTTAATTCTTATTTAGATTTGTTGTGAAGATGATCATAATGATCGTGTTTTTTCTATCATATTCTATGTCTTTGTTGTAAATAATATTGAACTTATTTTTTTTTTTATTTTTGTGGGTTAATATAATTAATATATTTTATCATTATTTATACTTTTTTCTCTTTTTGCATTTTTAGACTAATTCTCAATCAAGCTCGTCAATATTATTTTATTTGCAATTTTTTTTTGTTTTATTGATTAACAATAAAAATTGATTTGACGAGTATAATTTACATTGATCGCGTGTATAGAAATTGTTAAAATATATTTTGTTTAATGGATATGTCTTAAGAAGGTGTCATATGTGATTCGATCAATGAACAATAAACATGTTTCATATTAATTTAACTAATTTTCATTCAAATTATTTTTTATATTGATTAAAATACATCGAATTTTATAAAAACAGGAAAAAAAAAGAAAGGGTAATGTTCTCTGAAAAGTGTAGTTGTTTATATATGAATAGTGTGTGTATGTTAAATGATCGTTAGTTTTTCAATATATAATAAGAAGCCGACATGCTTATATAAAGTATGACACCATCATAAGAAAAATCTGGTGACAATATTGATTGATCGGTGTTATACGATATTGTCTTCATATATATATCGATACAAGTAATCGGACACGCGACCTTAATCAATGTTTGTTCATTTCCGTTTCACGCTCTTTTCTTTCTTTTGTCTAATTTATATTTACAATCGACTATAAACAAACCATTTTATCATCAATAGAAACAATGTATGAAGAATCTTTCTTTTTTGAACAAAATTCGAATAAAAATCGATTTATTTAAAAGAAGAAAAATTCAATTCTAAACTATTCGAATACTTAATAAATAAATGCCGAGAAAGTATCTTTATAGAAAATCTCATCTTCTTATTATTAGATGAAAAATATTTATTTAATCGATTTTCATATTTTTAATCTAATGCATTTTATCATAAAAATTATTTGGAAAATCAATCAATATTATAGTTTAAATATATATTCTGTTCGTATTAAGTATATATGATCATTCGACTGAAGATATATATAATCTGTTGTTAACGATTATTTATAAGAAAACAATATTTTCAATTGATATTCAATTTTATCCGAAAAAGTATACTTGAATTTATTTAATTGACAATTTTATTTATTTAAAACATTTAAGACAATAAACTCGAAAATATTTGGTTAATCTTAAAAAACAAAAAAATGATTTTATATGAAATAAAAAGAATGTTATATTTAACAATAGATAAAAAACAGTTAAATATCTAAAAGAAACCAAAAAACGTCAAGTCGTCAATGTAATAAATGTATCTTGAGTGATTTGAGGACATTGGTATAAATGGTAATTAAATCAAAATGAATTATGTAAGTTGTTTTTATCATATGATTGAAAAAGTCTTGTCCATATGTTTTTGAAAATAAAAAAAAGTCGATTGATTGAATATTCAAGTGGATAATTGTTCTAGTCGATCACCATATATGTCAATATTTATAATCATTGATTAGATCATAAGAGATAGACAACAAGAGATTTTCTGTCCAGGATATGTTTTGACGCCATTTACAATAGTGTCACTAGAGACATTTTTATTTATGCTTCAATAATGACAACGTTTTTTTTTCTTTTCATTTATTTTATTTAACGATTAAAAATGAGAAAACAAAAGAGAAAAACAGAATTTAATTACAAAAACCATATTTGAATAATTGAATGTTTTTTTTTATGAATAGTTTTTGTTTGTTGACCATAAAAAAGAAGACGATAATCATTATTAACAATTTGTTTTTTCTTTTTTTTTGATCGATGAATTGAAATTTTTGATTTTGGTGTTGATGTTCGAGGTCCATTATATAATGAACGTTTTTTAATCGGTGTACTTGCACGATCATTTGGCAAATCTGTCCACATTTTATCTATCTTATACATATCGTTTTATCTTCAATATACTTTATGAAACAATAACTAAACTAAACGTTTTTATTTCATTTTTTCTCTTTCTCTCTCTCTCTCTCTCTCGTTTCTTTTCTTTTTTTTTTATTCGTTCGGAAAATTTTCTAATTGGAGATAAATAATTGAATGAAAACCAATTGAAATAAAATAAATTTAATCGAAATAAAATATTCTCTTATCTAAGTTTGAGATGACATTCTCATGTGTCAAAATAATCATTTTAAATTCTCACATTAACTTTAGTTATTAGATAAATCAAGATAATTGCATTCTCATCATCATCAACTATTTTCATTTTAGTCGACAACAACAACATTTTTAGCATTTCCTATACAATTATATCTCAACGGTTATATTCGAAATATTTCTTCTACTTTTTTTTCAAATTTGATTTAAACAAATCAAAGTTTTTGTTGTATTTAGAATTTTTTGTTACTTATTAGGAATCAATTTTTAATGGAAAGATGAAAATAAATCTGTTTTTTTTTGGTTTTCGAAAATTCTATCTGATTGTGATGAGTCAATTTAATTATATTTTGTTCAGTTCAACAAATGAATATATTAAAATAATTGAAGATAAAAAATAAAAGAATAAATGTCGATAATGATGATATTGAATTTATCAGTTATGTAAAATATCCAATTAAAATCTGCAGGTAGATTGAATTTGCGAGAAATTGTTTTATCGTAAAATTAAAAAAAAACGAAGAAGAATTTAAATGAAAATGTGAAAAAGGGGTGTGGTAACATAAGGTATATATTTATTCATTATTCATGTTAAAATGAACAAACATTGTCGGTTAACCAACTATTCTCAAGTGGATAATCTTTTAGACCAATTCTTTGATCAATACGGTTAACGCTCTACCATTCACATATAATGAGCTTTCGACACACACATACACACATCTTTAATTCACCTTTTGTTTGCACACCATCATCATCATAAATGATCTTTTGAAAAAAAACAAAAAAAGCGAAAAAGAAAAACAAAAGAATAAATTGAATAGAGAGAAAGAGAGAGAACTAATCATCCATATAGATCAATCAATAATCACTAAAATGTTACTTTTTATTTTTTTAAGTAAAAAGAAAAACTTGGCGACACTCGTTTTTTTTTTATTTAAGTAAATGCGCTTGAGGCAGATTTGAGTAGATATTGTTTTTGTTTAAAAATATCTGTTGATTGACTCGTTTCTATTTATTTTACTCTGAATAAATCACTCAACACGTTTTACATATCCGTTTGTCATCTATTTCACAATTTCGTTATATATTTTCAAGATTTTATTAACATAAACAAAACACATATAAATAAATAAGAATGAATGTCATTTTGTTGGTCATGAACAATTATGTAATTGTGAAAAAGAAATAAAAAAAAACACGAATATATATTTTATTTCAATATAAATATAAACATAATGTGAGTTATTTTGAAATTTGTCAAGAATGATAAAGAAAGATATATTGACTAAAGATACTCTTTTCTTCTTTTTGTTTTCGAATAAAATCATTTTTGATATTTACTAAAGATTAATCTTAACTTATTCGTTCGATTACATATCGTTAAATTTGTCTAGGAGTTTTCTATTGATGTAATTTGTATTCTGTCTATATAGTCAACTTTTCTTTTTTTTTTTGCTTTATTGATTATTCAATTGTTTTTATCGATTACTTGACAATATTGAATCTATTAGAAAAAAAGAAAGAAACGTTTCTATATATTCTTTTAAAATAAAACAATATTCATATGGGTATGTTACATTTTTTGAAATTAAATAAAAAATAAAAACATTGAATATTTGTTTTATTTATCGTAAATCGAATATAATTGAATTAAGTTTTTTTTAGATAAAATAAAAAGAAAAAAATGTCATTGAATATAAATTGTTTAAGAGATTATTCTGATATTCGATTAATACCATTAATTGGTAATAAATCAAATAATTTAATTCATTCAAATAATGATGAAAATCAAAATAATTTAATATCAAAATTTTCATCATCAATAATACATTTATCATATTCTTCAAATGATATTGAATATATATTAAAAAGTTTAACAATAAATTCCTTAAAATTTTCAACAAAAATCATATCATCAATAATAATTTATTCAATTGTAATTATTCTTATATTAATGATACTTTCAATTATATTTTATATAATATCATATTCAAATATAAATCAATTTAAATTAACAAAAAAAAAATATTTTAAATTTAATTTAAAAAAATTTTTAATAATTCTATTATTATTTATTTATATAATTATATTTATTCAAATGATATTTATTCTTGAACATGGAAATAAAACAAAAATTTATTTAGATAAATCAATTAAATTAATTAATGATGAGTTTAATTCAAATTCAATTTCAGAACATTTTCAATATTTATTAAAACAATTTGAAAATTATTCAAAAAAATGTAAAATTTTTTTTTTTTCTTATAAAACTGATTATTATTATTATTTTTTGTTTTTTTTGTAGCAAGATTTATTCTAATCGATGGATCAAAATCAATAATGATTAAATCATTGAATAAATTTTTAAATGATTATTATTATATTGAACAATTAAATAATTATCTTAATAATATAAATAAATATATAAATGAAATAAATTTATTTATTGAAAATGATCAAAATTTAAAAACTTTATTTCATAAAATTATTCTATCATATAAACATATTAATAATGATTTAATTAATTTAAATAAAAAACTTTGTTATTATATTGATGAAAATAATAATGATATTGAAAAAAAAATTTTTTATTTATTTAATATAGTTAATGAAAAATTTCTTTTTTTTATTCAAATATTAAATGAACAAATTTTAAATAAATTATTTAAAACAACATTATTTAATCAAAATCAACAAAATAAATTTCAATCATTTATATCATTAATAGCAACATTATTTTTTACTATCATTCCAATAATAACATTTGTTCCATTTGCTTTTTTAATTATTATTATTATTAATTATTTTTGTTTTTATTCAAATGATCAAACAAAACAGTTAATTATTTCAATTTTTATCTTAGACTTTTCTTTTACTATTTTTTTTTTTTTTTTTTATTAGATTTACAAATCATAAATCAAAAAATGATAGTCAATCGAAATTAGATGATCTTGATGTTAAACAACTTTTATCATTACATATTCAAAATGATGATTCACTTAATTATACAACAAATACTTATAGGTGAATTTATTCGATTAATTAAATCATTCGTTTTCTCTTTTTTTTGACAAAAACAGAGGACCATGAATTAAACTTTGTTGTTGGTCTCAAAAAAAATAAAATTCCGACTATTTCTGTTAATATTAAGTTAGTGACGAATTTTCATAAAAATATCACGTCTTTTACTTTGGAACATCTTTCGATCAATCTTAAATTAGCTTGGATTTTCATAAAAATAATTTTGTGAGTGATATGCAACAGTCACTTTTGAGTAAAAGAAAGTCGTTTCTAAAGAACGAAAATTCAATAACTGTCTACCGTTCGAAATATGCACATTGTGCGCTGATTATCTTAGTTTATTAGAATTCATATAGAATATATTTTTTTTATTTGATTAGAACAAGGAAGACTTATGTCAAGTATTTGTATTCGCTCTATTGCCAATATATAGCGCTATAATGAATCTCACAGGATAGATGATCGTTTACATATGAAACTATCGGCGTTATAAGACATATTATACTGAACAGTTTATTAGAGTTTTTTGTCCTATTTGAATGATATAGAAATATTAATATTTAATAATGTTGTTTTTTTTTGTAGACGTGTTCATAATATATCCACAAAAAAGCGTAGATCAAGAAAAATAAAAACTTATCATATAAGTAGAAACGGTGAAAGAACTTTTTCATATTCTACTGATGATATTCATCGAAATAAATCAAAAAATCTTCATTGTCATCGTTTATTTCTTGGTCCAATACGTATTGCCTTTGGTTTTCTAATTGTTTTATTAATTATCTTATGCGTAATCAGTGGTCTTCTTTATGGTCTTGATTTACTTATACAAAATTCATGTCGATTACTTCATTATGATCAACAATTTCTTATTTCATTGGTTGCAGGTTAATAGAAAATAGATTTTTTGAAAAAACTAAAATGAAATAATTTGTTTTATTCTTAGATAATTTAATTAAATCAATCGATAATATTGATGTAAATGAAACACTTAATAATATAATTAATGATTGTAATAATAAAATACATTTTAGTAAAAAATTTTTAAAAGAATATTCAAATGAATTTTCAAATGAATTAATTCCAATAATAAAATATTTAAATGAAAATATTTATAAACAATTTATTATATCAATTAAAACAATAAATATATCATCAGAACTTAATTTATTAAATAATGTTGCTAGTTTTCTTCGTTTAAAATATATTCAAAATCGTTTAATTCTTATACATAATGATTTTAATCAAATTGAAAGAATATTTACACAAATTATTCAATTTAATTCACGTTTACCAATTAAGTTTTTTAATCAAACATTAAATGAAGTTAGTAAATTGTTTATTTCAATTTATATTTCAAACGTCTTGTTTTTTTTTTAATTTATTTATTTAGTTTGAATTATTTTTTGAAAAAGTAATTGAATCAACAATTGATTCATGTCCATTACCAATTGATAATATATTAAAAATAGATAAATTAATTTGTCATCAAACAGCCAATACAATAAATGGTTTATGGTTAAGCAGTTTTTTCTTTATGTTTGCTTTTGTATTTGGCATTTGTATTTTCGGTATATACATCTATAAACGAATGACTTAATATTATCCATAATGTTTAATACGATCTCGATTTATTCATTCTTGAACAATCTAAATATTATCTATTAAATTTTGTCTCTTATTTTAATTTCTGTTATATAATGACCGAAAGATAAACGTTAGACTTTATCCTTCTTTCAAATCTTTTACAGTTTTATGAACAATCGGGGCACACTTGATACATTGCTCTTTTCTTTTCATTGTGGAATCACCAAAGATTGAATTATCATACATAGCAAAAGAGTTGAAATTGACTCTACAATGAAACAATACCATAGATATCGTTGTTCCACAAAAAAAAAACTTCATCTTGTCTGCTCAATCTATTAGTAGTTTAGAAAACAATAGTAAGACTCTTTTTTGGAAAAATTTTATTTTACTACACGGATTTAAAAAATCAATTGTATAGTTTTTCTTTTAACGTTTCTTCCTAGAAAAATCTATCAAAATAGGATTAAGATAACATACTCATGTAGTTTGTTTTAGCTTCACTTATGGCAAGATTTATTTTAACTTTCGATAATACTATTATTGTTTCCTTTATCGTAAGAAATTGAATAGAGTTCGAAATATGATAAGAGGCCACGATAATCTTTTTAGATCATTGTTGAACATTAAAAAAATATATTTCTATGAAACTGAACAATTTTTTTCACTTTTTAAAACTTTTGCAGTAGAGCGTGAATGTGGGTGTTGGTCTTCATTGTACGCACACACATACCCGCACTTGTAATTATACTTTGTCAGTAGCACTATTTGGGTATCCTATTAAAGCAACGAATGTACATTCTCATATTGATTATTGTCGAGTATGGTTGGTTGATTATGGTATTATACTGAATTGTGATTATAATCTGATAATGAGAGTAATGAACAAATCAGCCGAAAATTTACTTTCAAAAAATTTTTTATAGTTGCAAAAATCTTTAGTTTTTATTGAAAAGCTGTTCTTTTATGAAAATTTTCGTCAAACTTTTTTTCTTCTTCATACATCAGTTGATGTTTTGCATTTTAACAACTCATTGAGGCGATAGTCGTACCATAATCAGTCAGCAGACTTTATTTCTTTCGGTGGAAGGTTTAAATTTTAATCTTTCTCTTGTAAGACATATATATCGGCTTAGGAAAATGATAAATTAATCAATGCTTTTGAAAATGCGTGCCATAAAACGCTCCACAAAAATTGTACAAGAAGACTTCTATTGATTTGGTCCAAAGATTTCTCCTTTACTTAAAGCAAACAACTTATGGAATAGAGCTATTTTGCTTCATATTGAATAGAATAAAAATATTAGAAAGTCTTTTTTGTTTTGCATCTATGGGTGAATTGTGCCCGTATTGTACGGTTTGAAGAAAAAAGTAAAAGTGACTATAGTGAAAATTTGAGCGGTAAAGTCGATAGAGCTCCATTTGTTGTATATAAATCAAGTATTTCCCCAACTGTCAGGTTTTTCGTTTAGGAAAAAACCGGGTTTTAATAAAAAATGAATATTTTTCCAGATGTTTTGACAGAATAAAATAAATAATTTTAGAAATATTTTGACGAAATAAAGTCACTAAATGAGAGTGTGAGTGTAGATATACATGTTTTCTTCTATTACCTTCGCACACAAATACCCACACCCCGTCTTTTGTTAAGCTTATTATTCTATTCACCGCCTGTTGTCTTTTCGTCGGATTAATAGAGAATATTTTTTGTATTTTATCTATCTGCTATCATTGATTTAAGAAATAAAATTAGTTTACTGTATAGCATTCGATTCTGAATGAGTGATTCTAAGACATGTAATGCTTCTAAATATCGTTTATATTGTCAATAGCCTGGTGGAATTTCCGTATTTAGATGGTGAAATTCAATAGATACCAGTTTACCGTGTCGTTCTCTTTCGCGTACATTAGTTTGAAAAAAAACACTTTCTATCAAGTGAAACATTTTGTATAGCGCAGTCACCCATGGTTTTCAAGCGACAATTAAAAACGCCCAACAATCAATGTCAAGAATGTGCGTATGGGACGAAAATGAACACCCATATCCAATAATTATGTAATCTTGTCTGACTAAGAACGCTATTATTCTTAGCGATATAGTTAATTTGAATTTGACAAAGAATGTTAATGATAATCATTGCCTATTAGCGGCTTGTAAAGATACCAGCGATTTTCTGCGATTATGCAAAACAACTGTAATCGATATCAATGCTTTTAAAGTGTTTTAAGTCCTTAGAAAGACTTTCTCTATGTAATGCTGCCAACTAGTAGTTCAACAAGGCATTATGTTGCTAGACAGAGTAAAACAATGAGTAGATAGTAAACATCTCTGTCATTCTCATTTTTACATCCTCATCTTTATTTTCGACGAATGTCAAATTTACCATTGAATTATGTCGTCAAGTTTCAGTCTGGTAAAAGTAGCCAATAAATATGAATCAGGCCGCAGCCAAAATTTTCTTTTCACAAATAACGATGATCTCGGTAGATGCCTTTGTACGGATAATCAAAAGATACTAACAGCAAGGTCTTTTTAGATAAATCAAATGACTCTGGAAGTAGTCACAGAATGTAGATGACGAAAAAGTGTTTCTCTGTCAAGATATTTAATGTCTAAAAAAATAGTCTATCGTCATGATAATTGACTTTGTTTGAAGATTTGATATGTCGACAAAAGGATATCATTTTCGACTAATTCTTTAACTATATTATTAGAATCATTTGATCTGAATATGAATAATATTGAAAGTCAAACTTTGACTATTTATTTGTTTTGGTGAATACCTAAAACTCGACTGAAAATTCAGTAAAATATTCATAACTCGATTGCAAAGATCCATGAATAAAAGCCATTTTCAGAATTTTTCTAAGGCTTTTTGTGAATTTAATATGAGATGGAACAGCTAGTATCTATTCACAAAGTTTTCTTAGAGATGAATAATTTGAATTTTGAATACATACACTTTCATTAGGTCTCATTGAATAAATGAACTTTTAAGTAAAGAAAGATTCAATTTTTGATAATTACATTTAAAACTAATTTGCTTATCTCTAGAGTTATATGATACCTACGTTAATGACATATAAATATTCAATGATAAAATCTATGTTTCGAAGATTGAGAAAAAATTTTTTGCAGCTAAAATTTCTAAAAATTCAGCATAGTCAACATGTTTAAAAAAAGCGATGTTTATCCTACTAGATTTTGACGTGATTTACAAATAATAAATCAATCACGATTAGAAAGTCTTACATATATTGATAATTATAATTAGTTGTTAACTAAGCTATCTAATCGAATACTAGCTAAAAATCTTTCCTATCGGCTTCATTTAATTGAATGTTTTTTCATCAAATTTGTTTTTTGATAACAATATTGACACATTATTCGATATTTTTTTTTATTGCAATTGAAGAACTATTTCAACGTTTTTCACATTTATTTGATTTATTGTAATCGATCAAATATCCCTGTTGATAGATGAGATCAATTTAGAACATCAATTTGATTGTCGTCCTCACATTCAATTGATGTATAACACTTATGATTAGATAAGTATCCTTTTAGAAAATCAAAACTAATCGGATCGACAGGAAAATAACGTTGCGTGGTAAGAATAAATTCTTGAAAAACTTGGGTAAAAAAAATAACAACTGCATACATACAGATTATGAGACTAGTATCATTCGATGAATATATTTAGTTAGATTTGGCAATGGTCATACTGTTTTTCGTCTAATTCTACCTTCAAAAGTTTCAATGTGACCATTCATTATTATATCATTTAATTAACAGCAAATATCAACAATGTTAATGAAAATTTTCTTTTATTTAGACAGGTAAACAAACAATCGACACTTTCATCTAGAAAAACCATATATTTTAAGACATTCACAAAGGTTGTTTGTTTCTGAGGAAAGCAAAGTTTATGTTCTGATAGTTGTTTTTCTTCAAAAGAAGATTTCTCTAGGCGTAAAACTGTTGATTGATTTCGCTAGTTGTCAAACTGATTCACTATCACATCCAATCAGACTCCTGAGCAGTTTTGAAAAAAATTTTTCGTAGACCACTTTCATTGATGAATTTTAGTACTAATTGATCAAATGTATTGACTGATGCATCGAAGACGTTTTTTTTAGTGGCTATTTCTAATTGTGCTGTTTGGCGATTTTTCTTTTTGTAATCAGATTATACATTAAGATTTATATGCATTTAGAATCATCGTAATGTGAATAGTATTTCTGTCAAATATCTTTCTCACTTTTTTTTAGAAAAATTAATAAATGGCGCTCGATGCTATTTATGTATGGTATTGACAAAGTGCTAGAGCATCAGAACTCATGAAAGATGACGTTATAGTTAAGAACATCAACAAACTAGAGACAATCAAAATGGTCAAAACGAAAGTATAACATAATGATGTTGTACACAACACTTCATTTTTCTATGAAATTTTTTTTTAATTGACCCACTTAGAAAAAGATCTGAATCAGTACGTCACCAGATCTGTTTAAGAAATGATGAGATGAGTCGTCATCTGCATCAGTTGGTAGATCATTGAAGACTTTTATCAACTGTATGTTTATCATCGAGAACAACTATGCTGAAAATTTTGATCTTTAAAATGATGTTTTTGAGGTTCGTTTCTAACTGGTTACTTTTTTTGACTTATGAAGTGTTTTCTCACTATCTATCGATTCGTCACTTTATGTTAAACCTATTATTGATTTTTCTTTGCTTGCTCCGTCGTAGAGTCCTGCAGGGTACAACTTTTTCGTACCTTATACCCTACCCTGCGAGAATTTCGATACCCTGACCCTACCCTACGCCTCCCGTACCCTGGCCCTACCCTACCCTACGCCTCTCGTACCCTGGCCCTACCCTACCCTACGCCCAGCGTACCCTACCCTACCCTACACCCTTCTTACCCTAACCCTACCCTACCACACAGATTTTGTATCTTGTACCCTACTATACACAACGTTTTACATTTAAGTGAATGTTAACAAGCT